CGTTCAGCAGCCGGCCCAGGGCGAGTGACTCCGTGCTCCCGTCTCGGGCCGCTGTCGCGGTCCATTCTGTGCCCGCCCGGAGCCGCGTCCGCCCCGCTCTGTCCGACGCGCGACCCCTGCCCGCGCCAGCCCAGCCCGGCCCAGCCCAGCGCAGACCGAGACCGGCCAGGCCTGCAAACCCCTCGCCCGCATCGCTTGCCCCCCCTGACCGTAGAGGTGAGCGGAATCTTCCTCAAGACACTTTGTGTTTAGGGGGCTTTCTTCGAGATTAAACAAGAATCCAGCTTGGTCACGACGACGACCACCACAACACCACCACCGCCATTACCACGACCACAACCAGCAGGAGCAGCAGCAGCTGCGGGGTGATTCCGCATCCGTACAGTGGGCTAGTCTTCTCTCCCCCGTCCTCTCTCCCAACTTATGCCATGGCAAGGCAAGGCGACGAGGACATAGCGCTGTGCGGAGTCACCTTTACCGACCGGGTTCGAGCCTTCCGATTGAAGTGATAAGGAGGCTGACAAAGGGGCGCAGCACTCTCCTGGTAGGGCGGTGGTCCAAAAACAAAATTGTCGATTTCTCTCGGGTGTCACTCGGATCGACTTGCACCTTAAAATATCAAACCAAGTGCAAAAAAGGTCATTTAAAAAAAGTCATTGAGACAGAGTCCGGAAATGATGACGGTAGAGTCGGTTCCTGTGGTGGGAGGCGCCTCATATAGCACTAATTAGAGATATTTCTTTTTAAAAACGTAGACGCACTGTGAGACTGTACAGCTCGCTATACAGGCTTTCTCCAATCGGGTACATTTTAAAGTTGTTGTTTTTGCTTTTTTATCACTTGATTTGACTTTTCAAGGAGCAAGTCGATCCGTATGATGCCCAAGCCAAAACGACATTGTGTTTTTCTTGTTTGCTAAAATTATTCTTTCGACTATGTCCATTTTATGAGCGTCGGCGTTGCCTCGAGCGCAAATGCATACGAATTCGGAAACATTAAAGTTTTAGTGAGACTCTTTGATATTTGCTTGTAAAGAAGCTGCCCCGCAGAGTCGTTCATTGGCTGCCGGACTTTTCACAGTCAACCAACGGGCCGGCCGCTTCTCCAACGTTATTATCAAGCTGCCAAGGCTCTAAATTCAGAGATCGAATGGGATATGCTGTGTTTACGCGACCATCATGCTGCTGTTCACACGTGTTCTGTTCTGCTCTACCGGGGCCGCTGAGGCTCGTGTAGCGATAACTTTAAAACAAAACTCTATCAATAAATACACTGTAAACACGGAATTTTACCCGTGATTCACAGAAACTTCTGATAATTTATTTTTGCGATTAATATCTTTTCGTACTTTTATCGCACATTCCTTTTTCTCCGAGAAAAAGTTATAATTCGAAAAATCTTGGGAATCGACTAATGTTGTCGGAAAAAAATCAGCACACAAAATTATCGCAGACTGGATTTCAGTGATCATTCCCGGCCGTAAGGTGTGTTAAATACGGCTACAAACTAGGACCAAGCACATACCACATGAGTATCGCCCCAACGGCGACCTGTCCCTTCGAGGTAACGCGAGGGCACGCCAAACATTTTCTTGTCCGCAGTGTAACCTGTAGCCCCCGCGCAGTAGCGTGCTCTCCGGCGGGCCGCCCGCCGGCTTCACACAGGTGTGCGGCGGGTCGGCCTACCCAGCGCGTCGCAGGCGCCTTCATTGCCGTGACGTTCATTGCGCGAGTCGACGGAACCCCCTCCCGGAGCAATTCTTCTCGTCCTACGGGTCTATGTAGATAGAAATGCGGCGCGAATGCGTAGAACAACGTGATCTCGTATGGCTCTCAGCCTCAGCGCCCCACCCGTGTTATGTATTGCATTCCATGACGTACTAGCTTGGTAGAAAATGAAATTGTGTGCCGTCGAGTGAGCGAGGAGACTAGCCGAGCTCATCGTGGAGGAGGGGTTTGGATGTATCATCAAGTTGTTTATTTACGGATAGAGAGGGAAATTAAAGAAAAACGTGGGGTCGGTAAATAAACGGGTTGTGACACCGTACCATATTGTGTGGAAAATGGGGCCGATCAGGCACCGGGTTTGGACGACCAGCAAGTGGCAGGGTTTTGCGAGGTTTCACTCAGCTCTTCTTACTGCTCAAACGTTGCACTTCCGCCAGTCGGCCGGCGCTATGTTCGTTTCATCGTCCTAGTAGGAGAGGATTGTCCACGGTTGTCCTGCTCTCCAGCACCACGAGACCGTGGCCAGGAGTCTCTTGGTTTGTCACAACCTGGCCACCGCCGAGTGTGTCGTCTGCCCGGTTATGTCCAATTGGACGAACACGCTGACGCAGGACGATTCGGATAGAGGCCCGAAGAATTCGGACTACTGTTTGTCCGTCTGCTCTGGCTGTTAGGGGGACCGGGTCGGGCCTCGGGCCTGGTTTTCAGCTCCGGACACCACGTGGTCATTGGTTACCCCCCCCCCCCAAATACTCCGTCATGCGATGCTGGACGGAAATCCCCACGACATCCGTGGGTTCAAGTACCCCTTCGTCCTGCAGGGCATGCGTCGCACTCTTCTCATTTGTATTCCCCC